CGAGGCGACTTCGTCCGAATCTTGCCCACGTAAGCAAGACAACCTAGACATCCGCCTGACGATCATCTGACAGCGCCCCTGGGTGAACGCGGCACGTTTGCATCATCCGCGTCGAATCCCTCGCCGTTGACGGCAGGGGCGGTTGCGTTGCAGTCGGCGAGAGGCTTGCGTCCGTCGGCGCACAATACCTTGGAAATCAAAACTGCACCCACGATCAGCGATCGCATTTTGGGGGTGTTTTGAGCTGTCTTGGCGACCTCCTCGTAGAAAGCCCGCGCGCGTGCGCGATGGCCCTGGGGCGGCTTGTTCTCGGATGGCTGCAATAGCGCTCGGCGCTCAACGATTATGCCTGTAGGCTGTCGGGTCAAAGTGTCGCGAACATCTCGTCGACCGGCGGCGCAATGGTCCGCGCGCCGTCGGTAATGACCTTGCGCCTGGCCAAGACTTCGAAGTAAAAACCGTCGGAGGTCGCCCGGTGGGGCGGCCACCCTGCCGAAGAAGGCGATGCGCGGCAGGTCATGTCGGAGGTGGGCGCGCCGCATCTCGTGGTTGACTTGAGCGTTGAAATATGATGGTGGCCCGGTGGGCATGCTGTTGGGCCTCGCGATTGCAACGGTGACCCCTGCTTGTTGGACCTGCGAAATCCCGAGGCCCACCGCGACACGTTTGTCCAGGGCACCTCCAGATGACAGCTTGCCTGGGAAGGCCGACTGCGAGATCCCGCCAAGTCCCCCAAGCACTGCTAAAACGTCATCAGCGCCGGCGCGCCCATAACCGTGAGAAACAATGGGAGAGACAACGAGCGTCTGCACGCGCGTTCGCCAGCGATAGCAATGTCAAGAGCATCCAGAACATCGCCGCCCTCCGACCCTAGCTCTTCGATTGGAACGTCAGCGAGGTGCGCGGCGCAGCGCAGACCTCTGAGGCATTCGCCCAATCATCGCTGTCGCCATCTGCTATTCTAGGTATCGCACGCGGCTCGGTGCCCGTCGCTTCGCAAGCTTTCTGTCGCGGCTGCTGTTTCAGCCGGGGGGCGGCAGATGGCGCAGTCTCCTGGACAGTCGGAAGCGGTGGTATAATGAAGAACTGCCCGCCTTCAGGTCGTAGCCCAGCCCAAAGTCGGTAAAGAAGGAAATCGATCATCTGCCGCGGGCGCCACTCGTTGTCGCGGACGCTGCCGCTCTCCCGGCGGATCGCGGCCAAGCTCGCTGCAGCCGCGGGCCCCCAGGACACTAGAATATTCATATTCCTGGATCCAGAACGCGAGGGCGCCTTCCCGTCGCAGCCAGTCAATTGAGCTTCGCGGTATCCAAGGCAAGAACTACTCCGCGCACCACGTCGCCCAGCCTGGGGTTGTTGGGCGGCGCCCAGGCACATGCCCGAGCGCCCCTGTGGACACGAGTGCGCACGCTCGACGTCGCCCCCTTGTCGCGCGTGCGCCGTCGATCTTTTCCAATTGATCCATGGGGCGCGCTATCAGTTTAGCACTTGCCCAGTGTCTCATCAAGTTGACCGGTCCTGCTCGTGCTCGTGCCCATTGAGCGGGTGCTCGGACTACGACGCACGCGCGCATCGACCCTGCATCATACAATTCCTAGTGCATGTTGTGATCATGTGTAGGTATGAGCCGCTCGGCGGTATGGAGTTTCGAGCGTAGTCGACACCGGAATAACATAGACGCACCCGGATCAAGCGAAGCCCCAGGTCCTGGACAGCATCACGGAAAGGGCCCAACTCCCAGAAACGCGCTGGCGGACCCACGACCACGATCTACATCCGCAGTGCGCCCGTCTCAGTGATCGGACTACGTGCGCCATCGCAGCGCGACTCCCCCGTTCGCCTAGCGCCCGCGCCTGCCAGTCATCGGGCGCGGCCCCCCAAAGCGCTGGATAGTCCCTCGCCAGCAGGCTACCCTATGTAATGGGCCCCCGTGGGCGCCATAACCGCATATGTGTCAGTCCGTCGCATGGTTTGCCTCTGCGCCGAAACTCAGCGACGGTCGCGCGCCCATCTTTCACGCCGAGAGCGGGTCCAACAAACTCTCGAAGGACCCCGGCGAAGCACGCGGCCGCGCTCGAGCCCCGCGCGCCCTCGGGCGGGCGATCGCTGCGAGACGGCGCGGCCGCAGCGCCAGCCTGCCCCCGTCGATCGATGTTCTCGACCGTCCGGCCGCCCCTCGCCCTGATTGTGAGCTGTTGTCGCTGCTCCGCGTAGTAGCAGGGATGGTCGGGCGCTCGTTGCCGTCACCGTAGCTAGCCGAATCTGGTGGGATGCCGCCATCACGACAACCGATGCGGCATGCAGCAGGTGACCCCGCTGGTGGATCTCCACCAGGGCGCGTCTCGTCCGAGCGTCGCGGGCGGCGGGCGTCTTCCATCTCGCCAGGTCCCTCTCACAGATGCGCGTCAAGAGCATCCGCGTCACCTCGGACATAGCGCGCATCTTGTCGGACCTATGCCAGCGGTCCAGCACATTGCCGACGGCGGTGACGATCTGCGAGTCCCGCTGATTCTCCAGGTAGTCGTCGACGCGCGCGTCGCCGTTGGTGTCTGGCTCCATGCCCATCTCCCGCAGATGACCGCTGCGCGTCATAGCGCAGGATGAGCCGCAGAATCGCTTTCCGTTGAATGCGGGGACGATCCGTCGAACCCGCCGGATGGGATGACCGAGTGCCCCGAGGGTGTTTTCTCGACGCGCATGACCTATCCTCCCCTGCCGGACTGGACCGCGTGGGTCGAGCTGCCTGCAGGACATGATATCTTCTTTGCCCGGCTCCAAGACGAGGGCGGAAGACTTGTTCTGCATCGAGGTGGGCCGGAGGATGGCTGGCAGGTTCTCGCCCGACCATTCTGCGACGCTCGCCGAAAGGTAGCCGCAGCACTTGCAAACAATGTTGAAGATGCCACTGGCGCGGCACACCGCCGCGCAAGAGCCCGCACCGCCGATTGACAGTTGGCGTTGCATCTTCAACGCTATCAACATGTGACAACGCGCTATGCCGCTGCCATCTGGAAGAGGCGAGCTGCGTTGAGACAGATGGCGCTGGCAGTTAACCCCTCGTCGACAACTATGCTCAACTCGTCGGCAAGCACGGCGCGGATCCACGGGGCACCACGGGACACCACGGGACACCGCGGGACACCGCTAGGGCAAACGCCAGAAGGACGGACGGACGACGGATAATCATTTGTTTTGGCTTTGCCCTAGCAGCGGAATGTTCATCCCTTTCGCGCGCCCGCGCAGCTTCGCCTCGCCCCCACGCACGACACTAACGAAACGAAACGATTTCCTGGTTGGGGGCCTGCGTCCCCCTGCGACCTCACCCCCAACCTCCGACGTTTCTGCGTTTTCGAAACTATTATTGGGGTGTGGTCCCTACGAACGATGAGCATAACATATAGCTGGGAATGTCGAAGCCGCTGAGTCTGCTTCCAGCCTGGCCATCCCGAAGCGGGCTAGGACCGCATCGATTCGCGCTCCACGCTCAATGCGGAAGTGGACGAAGGCCGTGCCAGACATCAGTCGCCATTCGCCCTCTAAGTTTTCAACTTTGGCGCTGAGGAAAACATGATGTACGTAGCTGCGTCGACGCGTTTGCCTTGAATGTTTACACCGTAGTTGGCGAAGTTGAACGGCACCCCATCGCAATGTTCTTCGCGAGACCCCCCAGGCCGCACTAATTGCGGCGGCCTGCTGGGGTGATGTCATCGTGCCGGGAGTGACGTTCAACCATGAACGAACTTCGCGGAATACCTAATGAAATGGGGCGATGCCTGTTGGGTCCCACGAGGGACCTCGAGCACGGGTACCATCTCATCCTCGCTACATGTACCCAGTTGGAAGATTGGTGCACGTGGTCGTCGCATGGCGCGTCGTCACACGCAAGCCGGTGGCCTGGCTCGGCTCCGCGAAGGAACGCTGGCGCAGTAGGTGTGAAGAGTCCAACAAGCTGTGCCGTGGAAGGCAACAAGTGAATTCAGAGTCATCCACACGGAAGTGAGGCCAGCTCCGCTACCGATTCGAAAGTGAGTTGGGAAGCTGTTGTACATATATCGTTTTAGACGATCTCTCGATCCGAACCATGACGAAGCGTAGGTCAGAGGAGGCTAGGAGGGACATGGGTCATATCATGTAAGGGAATGCGTGCTATACGTACGATGCGCGTGTGTCGCACACAGTGGAAGACAGCAAGCTGTCGAAGCATATGTTAGCTGCGCGCCGCTGTGAGCCACATCGGTAGCGGATAGCTCGCTGTGCTGGCTGGTGGCTTCCATTCATAGTTTCAGACAGCCTCCAAGATGCTTCCCAGACGACCAGGATAGCCCCAAGAGGGCTCCAAGAGGGCCCCAACAGGGCCCAATAGGCTCGCTTGGGGGGCTGTTTGGGGGGCCCTCGGGGTCGGCCCAAGATGCCTAAACCTTGAAAACGAACGTTGTTGCCACATGCGATTGAAATTACCATCCTTTTCTGCCTTAAGAGTGTCCAAGACGACCCATGAGGCTCCCACCTCCAGCGCAAGACGGCCCACGTAGACCCCAAGAGGATCCACAACGGCTGCAGCACAGCCCAATAATGCGACATGACTGCCCCCAAAAGGCGCCAAAACGACATGAATGGCCTCAAGAATTCCAGATGGCAGAAAAGCGCCCTGAGAAAGCCCTTGAGCCCGTGAGCCTCAAGATGGCTTCAGGGGGCCACAGGCGCCCGCCAACAAGACACGAAGGCAAGAAACTAGCCGCGGGGACAGCCCAAAGACGACCACAAAGAGCCTCTCCCCAGTGTTCCCCCAGTCGTTTCCCCAACAGCTGGGTGAACATGCGATCCATTAGCGTGGCCGCACTGCCGATCACGATTACACGACGCAGGAATTTCCAAAAGGCAGGGATGGCGTTGACTCGACGTATGCCTCTTCGATAAAGAGCAGGATCACACGTGGAAGTGCGTAACGAGAGAGCCCCGCCCCCTTTTCCTCCTGCTGGGGGAGGGCAAGGGCGGGCAGCCTGGGTCTTTGCACCACGTGGTCGCGACGACCACCACGTGGCCACATATGGGCGGCTGGGCCCCGCAAGCGAGGCTAAAGGTCCACGCACTGGAGCCGAAAGTGCCGAAGACGGCGGTGACGGTTACGGCAGCGGAAGCGGTTGTAGCTGTGACCAACGCCTCTGCGCACAAGCAGGGAGCTCTTCACCCCAAAACGTAATCGCCTTTGGTCTCTTGGCGACTCTCCGAAGGAGCAAGGCTCTGTTGCAGCGCAAATCCGTAGCGAGGCATTCAGGAAGCGATCCAGGCCAGATGATTGTAGTTACTGCCGCGCTCGCAGGAAATACGAACTCACGTTCGAACCACAACTGCTTCCAAGCAGGGCCCAGGGTAAAATTCCCCACCTAGACTTTGCCTGTCTGCGAGCAAAACGACCCGCGGCAATGCTCCCACATTTCCTCGGAACTGCCCTCCTCGAACACCCATCCCCCGCACCCAAGAAGCAAACAATGGCGATGCAGATGCAAGAACAATGTATACTGCAAAGTAAACAACGTCAATGCGATTCGATAGAACGCACTAAGCTACACACACATACACCTTACATGTACCGAAACAAGGCACTAGCACTACATACCGAGCTGATCAAAGAAGGGGACAACATGTCGAAACAAAACATAAGAACACAAACATCGTCATGCAATGCGGGGAAGTGCGCAATTCAAGGCTGAATAAAGCACGTATGTAATCTCCCCCGCTGGGCCCCTGCCAGGGGCGAACCGTACGGCAGCCCAGGTTCACGATTTCCTCACCTGGGACCACGTAGAGAATCCAGAATTGGGTTCATTCCCAGGATTGGTTTGGCCAAGCGGAGAAGGGATCGCGGGAGGGGAAACACCCCAGTCACCCCAGGATGCCCCATTTACCACCTGGGGCCAGATGGGGGGAGGGGAAAGGGGGGGCACCAGGGGGCCCCCGTTTCACCCCAGGATGCCTTGTTTCCCAGCTGGGGCCAAGCAGGGAATGGTTCGCGGGAGCGCTGGCGCCTGGTCCACCCCACGATTCTCTCCAGACCCACATGGGGCCCGGTGGGAGATGGCTCACGCAGGGGGGGCGCACGGTTTCCTCCTCCGTTCGCCGCTCTCCCCCCCCCCCAAGCGAACGACGCAAAACACAGCTCTACGCGAGAGGAACATCGACCACACGCCGCGGTTTTTGCGAGGGCCGCCGACGCGTCGCGCCACCTTGGCAACGAGGACGCATCCGCGCGATCTTTCGCGGGCAACTTAGGCGAGACTGTCCGCGCTGACGACCCCTCCTCCTCCTCCTCCTCCTCCTCCTCCTCCTCCTCCTCCTCCTCCTCCTCCTCCTCCGCTATTTTCCGTCTCTCAAGAAAGAGATTCTGCACGGGAAGGGGGGGCCAGCGCGGGAGGGGGGGCGCCGGCCCGCAGGGGATGCTAGATCGATGGCAAAGCGCATTATCCTGACCGCGCTCGACAACGGCCGACGACGACAAAACCGTGGGGACGACAACCATGATGACGAAGAGGAAAAAAAACGAGGGTGACAATGGCGGCGACGGTGAGACGGGCACTGACGACGCCGGCAATGAAAAGTCACGAGGCCGCTGGCTGCGATGACGACTGCGGCGGCGATGGCAGATGCCGGCACCCACCAGAAATTAGATGGCGGTCGACGACGAAGGCGGGATGACGCGGGTGAGCGGCCCCCTGAAAATTCTATGAACAAGCGCGGGCCTGCGGCGGGCAGAGTTGCAGGTTCCCGGGCGGCGGGAGGGGGGCATCCGCCCGCAAGAGCTGATGTTGGGGTATGGTCAAACGTGCAAATCCAGGTTAGGGTTGTGTACTTTTTTGAGCAACACCCAAAAAAACTGACGGTGTCCGACGGTTTCCTGTAGGTTCCTGGCGGTTTCCTGAGTGTTTCGTGCGGTGTCCATAGGGCTCCTCTTGCCTTTCCTCTCCTATTAAGTATGAAAATCGCAATTGCCGCTCAGAACCTCCCGACGAGCCGATCGGCACTCGCCGGAATTCCCGCTGGATTCCTGGCGGTTGTCGCAGGCCTCCCGAGGCCAAACTCATGGATTTCGCGTAGAGATTGCCAACGGATTTTAGCGTTGTCGCCTGGTTCGGCCTTCAGCGGCCCATGACGGCGGCCCAAGCAGCCTCCAAAGTGGCCCCAAAACGACCCAAGGAACCCCAGGAGGGCCTCACGACGGCCCAAGACGGCCCGAAGAAACCCCCAACAAGGTCCAAAAGGCCCCGACGACGGCTCGCGAGGCGCCCAGGAGGGCCCCGCGGCGGCCGCGAGAGGCCCACTGGACAGCCTCTAAAGGGGCGAGACAACGCACAATAAAAACCCAAGACGGCAGAAAGCACCACAAGAAGCTCCCAAAAGGCCCCCAAGAACCCCCCCATGCCCCCATGAGGCCCCAAGATCACCAAAAGGCCCGCAGAATTGTATACGAATGGCACGTCGTTTCTATGTTCAACGGAGTTTGAACTCGGTGTTGCCTTCTGCTTCTGAAGGGACCGCGCAACGCATGAGCGCCCCAAAACGGCTCAAGACGCGCCAAAGATACCCCGAGACTCTCGAAGCCCCCAAGAAGCCCCATAGAGGACCTGCCCCATAAGGCCCCCCCACAGGCCCCAAGGAGTCCCCGCAACGACAGGGCTGCACGTGTTCTCCACCTGCGCACTGTGCACATCGATTCCAACCTCCGCATATGCGATGCAGAGACCCGGAGGACGCGCGACAGCATTGCGCCATCTTTTGGTCCGATTCGCTTCCTAACAAAGACGCGATACGTGGCCGCGACAACAGACCCGCGCTCGACGCAGCTCATGCAAACGGCGAAAGCTCCATCCCCGACGCGGTGAAACATCGACACGCCATCCCCGACGCCACATCACCCGAAGGGACCACGCGACGCAAGAGCGCCCCGAGACGGCCCAAGACGCCCCCAAGAGACCCCAAGACACCCCAAACACTCCTCCAAGAGGCCCCAAGAAGCTCCCATGAGGCCTCCAGGAGGCCCCAAAGAGGCCCCCACCAGGCCCCGCAACGACTGCCCCGCAACAACTGCACTGCACGCGTTCTGGACGCGCACCCCGCGGAGCGAGGGGAATCCACATCCAAAAGTGACTGGTTGCTGGAGGCGGATCGCGCAAAAGGAACGGAAACCCGTATGCACTGTATCCTGTGTGTCCAATGAATGCACACTTGCCACAAACCGCGTTGCGTTACCGCTACATTTCTATTTGACCCCCCCCAACCGTCAAGGGGGTGAACCCGAACAAATCAAGGCCACCTGCGCCCCCCTGAAAAGGGGCCGCTGCGCTCGAGTCGCCTCGGGAGGCGCCGAGTCGAAGCACCGCCGCGCCACGCGCGCAGAGAGAGCATCGCGGCCGCGGCGCAGACGAAAGCAGGCGGCAGGGAGGGACGATGGAGGCCCCGAGGCTCGGAAGTCACTGGCTTCTGCCGATGATGAACTTCAAAAACCCATGGACCCCAGCGGTGAGACGGACGAGAAACAGGTTTGGAAAGATGGAGGCCAGCCTAATGATTTGGAAATGCTGTCCCACGAGATCGACTCGTGTGTTCGTCGGGGAGCGAAGGAGGACTTGGAAGATGGAGGCCCCGAGGTTCAGGGGCAACCGACTTGTGCCGATGACGAACTTCGAAAACCCATTCTCCTCAATGATGACCCTGAGATCGCAACGCCTCTGGGATTCTTTAGTTTTACAGAAACGGAAAAACTAAGGGCATCTTGCAAACACTGTTCACGGATGTGGGGAGGACCATTGGAGAATTTGTTGAAGTACTCGAACTCTTGCTTCGCAGAGGGATTGTGCAAGTGCAGAGCGGTGGAGCAGGGGTAGGAAACTGAGGCAAAGAGACCCGCAACATGTCCCAACGGGGGCTCCCTCTGACCTCTTAGTGGTTAAAGACACAGCCGTTGCGGAAGGGCTTGCGGAACACGGACACGGAAGGGCTTGCGCAACGGACGAACTTTGGACGGCATCTATGACACCATGTGGAACAAGATTGGCAATCCCACCAGCCCTGTGGGCGTAGGTGGTCTAGAACAGATCCTCGTCCACCCCTCCCTCTTCCCCCTTGGGGCGAGGTTTACCCCTCCCCCTACCCCCTCCCCTGGAACTGGACGGAGGGTTCCGCGAGCGGTCGGACGGCTCCTTTGGCCCCAAGATGGCTTCAAGAGCGCGCCAGAGAGCCCAAGATGAGCTCCAAGATGGCTCAAGATAGCGCAAGATCGCTCGAGATGGCTCCTAAGATGGTTCCAAGAGGCTCAAAGACGGCCCCAAGACGGCTCCAAGTAGCCAAAGAGCTCCCTAAGGAGGCCCCGGCGAGGCCAACATCGCCCCAAAACCTAAGGAAACAAAAAAAACTGTGTGTTTTGCTTTCTCGCCTTTTCGCTTCCGATGGACATCCGAAGCTTCAATCTGGCCCCAAGATTGCCCAAAAAGGGCCCCACGGGAGGCCCAAGAGCCCCAAGACGGCCCCAAAAGCGCCCAAGAGAGCTCCAACAGCGCCCCAAGAGGGGCCCAAGAGGCGATTTGCTCCCGAGGGGGGAGGCTACTTGGAGTTCCCCTCTTGTTTGATCGACTCCCTCCAAGATGGCCCCAAGAGCGCCCCTACAGCCCCCAAGAGCGCCCCAAGAGCGCCCCAAGAGGCGCCAAGACGCCCCCAAGAGGCGCCCAAGAGGCCTCCAAGAGGCTCCCAAACGACCCCCAAGAAGCCTCAAGAGGATTCCCGAAAAAAGGCATTCAAGACGTTTCTGGCTCTTCGGTTCGCCATCCTCTTCCTCTTCCTCTTCCTCAACCACCTCTTCCTCTTCCTCCCTCCTCCTCCTCCCCGTCCTCCTCATTATCCTCCTTTTCCTCCTTTTCCTCCCTCTGCTCCTTCTCCTCCTTCTAGTCCTCCTCGTCCTCGCCCTACTTACTCCATATCCTCCTCATTATCCTCCTTCCCCTCCTCTTCCTCCTGCTCCTCCTCCTCCTTTTCCTCCTCCTCCTCCTCCTCCTCCTCCTCCTCCGACGACGACGACGACGACGACGACGACGACGATTCTTCTTCCA